TGTGTGTGTGCGTGCCGTGTGTGTGTGTGTGTTGTGCGTGCGTGTGTGTGTGTGTTGTCTTGGCGCGCGCGGTGTGTGTGGGGGGGAGTATTTCTTATTGAGTAGCTTTTGAGCCATGCCAAGAACGTCGTTCTCTCGCCTCCGCTACGTGACCTCGGGGGCAAAATGAAATAGCCTGAGAACATCGGTGACGCATATAGATTTAGGCGCGATGCTTCGCGCAACAAAACATTTTCGCCGACACACACGCACGACGCGATGGCATCAACACACACGCTGGCCACACGCCACAACGAGGCAGCACACAACACACACACACACGCGCAACACACACACAACACACACACACACACACACACAACATAACACACGCCGCATGCACCACACGCACACACACACAAACCACACACCACACACGCACACACGCCACACACGCGCGCAGCAACGCACGCACACACACACACACACACGACACACACCAACACACTAAGCACGTCCACACACACATGCAAGCACGACAAGACCCGCACACTCAGACCCTCTGATATAAATAGGGCAGTGCGCACGCGGCTGAATGCGCACTACGAATGCACGGAACACACGCGAGCAGACATATTTAGTGAGCCGACGGAGGCATGTGGGGCATGTTCGGCATGCGTGCGGTGGAACGTCAATAGATTATTATTAATACGCATAATAAGATAGTGAGCATGATGAGATCATGGACGGAAGAACTTCTCTTGGTGCCACTGACTAACTAGATGATGTACCCGAAGTTGAAGTGTTCAGGTTTCCGTTAGCCGCAGCTTACGATACACGAACTAACGAGTGCGTCGACACTTGACGACTATTCTGGCCCATATTGGCATTATGCGTGTAAATATGATATTTATGATGTAGTATCACGATACAACTGTCGGTTGACGGGCGAGATACTGTAATACGTCGAAATTCTGTCTGCGATGTTATTGCTATTTCTATGCGTATAACCCTGCATATTATTGGTCTATGGATTGGGTCAAAATTAAGTTCCCGACTAGGTAGTGTTGAATTAAGGCAAGGTAAGGTGAAATCGACATAGATAGAGAATGTATGTTGAAATCAGTGCTAAATTAAGGAGCTAGGCTTGACGTGAAATCACATAAGATAGAGGAGTGTGTGTTGAAATTCATGCTAACATGAAGGAGCTTGCCGTGAAATGCAACGCATATAGACTTGTATATTTGAAATGTCGCTACATGACGGCTTACCGTGTAAGTGGTCTTGTTTCTATTTACTCGATTCTACGCTTAGTGAAAACAATTAATCATTAGTACGAACCGATCTAATACTGTTCTTGTTTCGTGTCTCCTAGCTATTGAAATACTGTTCGGATATTAGGCAATGATCGGATTGCAACCACGCGAAAATTCACAGTGGTATGAAGTACTTGCGTAGCGTCAAGCGGCAGCATAGCCGAGCACGTCAAGACGTCATCTATAAATAATAGGACATTCTATAGCCACATAAGAAATCTATATGGTATAAGATGTGACGCCTGCGCGAGCTGCATCATTAAAGTAACCATTAGTGGACAGCTTGGTGAAATGAATACGCTTTTATTGGTCCTCATTCTCATGGTCGTACGAAGGCGAAGAAATACGCAATGGCGCTAGGTCGGCAAAGGATGTTATATCTCGGCATGTATCTTGAGGCGGCGGGCCTTTATGCTTTTTGTATTAAAGCGTGTTTAAAATTGTGAGCGATCGACGTGCGAAGACAACGGTGATTTATTTATGTATTTCGGTTATGAAGCGGACCCAGTAGTAGACGTCGATGAATGAATGCAGAGCGTGTGGTCGTGTTTCAAGTTACTACGTTCTATCACAATTTAAAAAAAGCATTAGACTATGAGTTCAACCTATATACGCAAAGACTAGGTTGACGATAAGGGGCAACTTTTGTAATAATGAAGAAGTGTATTATCATTGATGTTTATCTTCCTTTATAGACATTTATCCGGGTCCGAGGCCTTGTATCTACGGCGCAATAAGACATGGCCTCGCTAAATTTGACAATCAAAAATCGAATTTCACTTATGATGAAAAAAGCTGGTAGTGCAATGGTGGAAATGCGTGTCTTCACTTTATTGAGAAGGAGTGTGCTGTTTTTTACTGCTTACGCTTAGAATTTTTAAAAGAGTTTGCACGTTACGTATAATGTTAAATCTAAAGGCCGACATAACATCTAAGCGCGTGCGCGCGCGCGCGCGCGCGCGTGTGTGTGTGTGTGTGTGTGTGCGTGCGTGCGTGCGTGCGTGCGTGTGCGTGTGGCGTGTGCGTGTGCGTGTGCGTGTGCGTGTGCGTGCTGCGTGTGCGTGTGCGTGTGCGTGTAAGCGCGCGCGCGCGCGTGTGTGTGTCCAAGTGTGAGTGAGTGTGCGCGTCAGTGGGCGTGTGAGTGGGCGTGTGTGTTTACGCGCGAGTGTGTTTGCGTGAGTTACTGTGTGTGTGCGTGCGAGTTCGTGTGCTATGCAAGCGAAGATGCGGGAGTTTCAATCAATATGATCATCGTCAGAAATTATACTAATGGGCGGATGAAGCCCTCCGCGTTGCACAAACGAAATCATAGCACAAGTGACCACGTTAAAATTCCATTACCGAAGCCCAATTCATCGTCCACACTACCGCGAATTAATATGGACATATCGTAATCGTATTTTGCGCTAACTGACTACGAGTAACACTAAAAATAAAGCGATGTCTCTCTCTTCCCACGTAGCCGGTGGGTAGATAGCTAGCGAGAGGTTACGGAACAGAGCTCACAGATATCCCATTTGTTCGAGTCCAAAACTAGGGAGTTTCCTTGGTAGGGGTGTTTAGGAATTTATTCGGCACGCGACGAATACAAAGGCTTGCTGGTGGGATGTGTTGGGGTGTCACAGACGGCCGACTTGCTCTAGCTATCGTAATATATTCGCACTAACCCTTCGCGGTATGTGTGGTATCAGGTCAGCTGTTGTTGTTCTAGCACGCTGTGCTTTTGGTGCTACATCGGTTTCCGCAATAGCTCGATGCTTGCTGTCCGGAGTGTTTCATTTCTTAATATCATGAAGTATTTTACGTCGTCTGGACGTTTAGCATGCTACGATTATTTGTACTACTAACAAGCGATAACGATTATTACCAAATATAGGGCTCATATAATGTTATCAAGCAGCTATAGTTTTTAATTAAAATATGTTTACAACAGCTCCGTTACGCCAACATCACCTAGACAACGCATGATCAATTACTGCTGTCATTATTGATATTTAGCAGGGGCAGGGTCAAAATAGAATGATGGTGTAATATAGATATAGATAAAGGAGGGAGAGAGGTAGAGAGAAAGAGCGCGTGGAGGCAAACAGTATGAGAATGAGTGAAAAAAACGTACTTGCGCAAGACAGAAGGAGGAAACGAAAGTCAGAAAGCCAGCACGAAAGACAGACAGAGAGAGCTTGAGATAAAACGAAAATGAGAGTGGGATAGAGCCAAAGACAAAGCAAGAGAAAGGGGGAAGGACGGACAGAGAAAGCATAAGAAGACACGAGAAAGGGAGAGCGCGCGGGGGCAATAGTATTGATTCACATGGAACTTCTTTTTTCCGTTAGAAAGCACACTACGCCATGTTTCGTTATTTCGCGTTTCCTTGGAAACCTTGAATAACGCTGTAGATGTGGCATGGCAGTTCGAAAAATGAATACATTTACTGTAACGAAATCATAATCGAGACGCCGCGTGGGCAAACAAACAAACGTCGTAAAATGTCAATCGCAAAAAAACGCCGTTTGCAGCAAGTATATGATTTTATTGTTCTGCTATAAACATTTGATCAGCGTTCCAAAATAAAAGATGCGTTAATATTTACATATATGTGCGAGATTTTCCTGGCTGAAGTCGAGGCACTCTAGGCTGCACGAGCTACATCATTACCGATGTTGCAGCCTCCTCCGTCATAAACGAACAGTTAGCAAACCAAAGCGCAAGCGCAAATATACCGGAATTATTATTCAAGCAATTATACGACAGGTTATCGGTTGCGTGCAGTTGCATCAGAAGCGATTTTACGGGTTTTAGCCCATAAAGGTACGACGGCGACGGCGACGGCGACAACGACTACGACGACAGAGACAGAGAAGACCACGACGACTGGTGTCTTGCAAATGTTTAATGGAGTCATAAATATTGCTATATCGACGGCTAGCTGGCGCTAAAGAGGAGATAATAATGTTTGGTACAGCAGCAGCATCGATAAATTTCAATATATAGTTTAACGTGCCATCATTTGCATTTCTCGGCGAAAGCCGGCGGATAGCTTTACATTCTATATAAAACTATAGACACGCAACTGGAGCAGTGTCGTAGCGTGCTCATCCCTAAAATGCGTGCGTGTGTGCGCGTGCCCGTGCGTTTACGATTATGTATGTACGTATGTACGTATACGCGTGCCCGTGCGTTCGCGTGCATTTACACGCGTGTACATGCGCGTGTGCGTCTAAAGGAGTTACTGATTTTACATACATTTCTCAGTGCTACTATACGTACACTACACTGTATACGTATAAACAATAATTTGGTCAACGCTTGCGGGAAACACGACGGTCAAGGCTTGCCCTTGGACATAGAGACAACCCACACGCTGCAATTGCTACGCGTATAACCACCGCCCGAAACACGAGGCAACGTTGGCCGCAACAAGGATGTCGCACGCGCCGGACGGTGACATTTTTATTTGGCGTCGAATTTGAAAAAGCCGCCGCTCGGGAGCTTTCACCCCCCCATCACCTAGCAACGGGAAGCTGGCGAGCAGCGGCGGGACGCTGGGAGGGGGAGTGAAGACGGAGAGGGTGTCTCTCTCTCTTTCTCTCTCTTGCTCTCTCTCTCTCTCTCTATCTCTCTATGCCACTTTCTGTCTGTCTGTCTGTCTCTTTCTCTCTTTCTCTCTGTCTCTCTCTTTCTTCCTTTCTTTCTATCTCTCTCTCTCTCTCTTTCTTTCTCTCTGTGTCTCTCTCTCTCTCTCTCTCGTTCTCTCTCTCTCCCTCTCTCTCTGCCTCTCACCCTCGCGCCCGCTGTCTCATCTCGTTCAGTAGTCGGTTCCTCTCCTTAATGATCGCCGTGAACTCGCATCGATACGAACACTTCTCTCCGCTCGGCGACCCGACCCACGGATACTCGCTCGGGCAAGGACCCTTGCACATCTTCACGTAGTACGTGTCGAGTCCGACGACGTACGGGCACGTCGTCTGACCGTCGCTCGGACATCGGTCCGGCCGCGAGCGCGCGCACGCGAACGGCGCGAAATTCGCCAGCTTGCCGACGGGCGTCGGCGTTCGCATCCAGTCGATGACGCTGTCGGCCGTGACGACCCAGACGTCGCCCATCGATAGAATCTCGTCGAGGAACTGCTCGAGCGCCTTCATGAAGTCGGGCGTACGCAGCCAGCCGGCGTGGAAGGCGAGCAGCATCGGCGCGCGATTCGTGTCGTAGTGACGATGGAAGTTCTCGACGATGAACTCGTACGCCTGCCGCTTGTTCGCCGGTCGCGGGCAGCCGTCGACCATCGGGCACGAGAAGCCGTACTGCCCGCGAAGCTGGTTCATCGGCAGCTCCCAGATGCCCGGGTAGTGCTCCTTCGGGCACGGCTGGATCGTGCAGCTGTAGCGCGTGCCGAAGTCCATCGTGTAAGGCCAGCTGGGAACGTCGGTGTCGTGCACGGGCATTGACGAGTCGTAAGTGAAGCCCTGCTCGTGCATCATGCTGAATGTGACGTCACCGTTGATCGCCAGGTATGGCGCTCGCATGCCGCGGATGTGCTCTTTGCTCACCTGCGAAGGAGAGTCGATGGCGTTTTTTGTCGTCGTTTGAAGAGGCAAGAATCGTCTGGAGAAATCCGAACGAAGAAAGCTCGGGGGAAACTTTTTTTTAAATTGCGTTGTCTGTGAAAATAGTTACTGTAATAATATCTCTCGCGCTGCCTCCCT